GATGGATAGTATTTTATGGCGTAAGGGATAGATAGTTTGTGAGATTGCATCTGATTATCTTGCATCTAAGCTAATTCAAGACTCTTGTGATAGTGTGTATATGGAATGTTCAGTTGATGATGTGTTAGGTTATAGATGGTGTAGATAGTGTAATGTATATTATTATATGAGATGTTGGATGGTATATAAGGTGATGAATATGTTTTGTGTGCTTTATTTTCCTTTTCTTTTAATCTAAACTAACACAAGGTTATGTGTGTAAGGATTGTATGCTAGTATAGGTGATGTTCTGGATATTGTTTTGAGATTTATTATCCTTTTCCTGCATTATAAGTTAACACATGACATTTTGGAAAGTGCGTAATGGAATGTTGGATGGTATATAATGTATGGAGAGAACTTTTGTAGGATTGTATCTTCTTCTCTTACACTCTAAACTAAAACATGCCGTTTATGTCAGTGGGTGTAAAGGATCTTGAATAGAATAGGGACGTTTGATGATATAGTAGTGCGATGAACAGTAGTTCTTGTTGTGTAAGGATAGTATATTTTTTAAGATTTTGTCCTCTCTCGTGCATTTTAAGCTCACACAGAGTGTTTAAAGGGGCGTATAGTTTATATTGTGAGATTTTATCTTCAATTATACTTCAAGTTAACGTCGAGGGCGCGCGCGCGAGCGCGTGTGTGTGTGTACCTACAAAATTCCTTTGTCCTTATAAAAGCCTTTTTGTTCCTCTAACATTCATTTCACCTACCTTCCTAGGCAAGTCCACCATGTTATATGTATATGTCTATGCTTTGTTTGTTTGTATCAGTGTTTGTTTGTATATGTTTTTGTTTGTCCTCATAAACCCCTTTCTCTCCTTATAAAAAACCTGTTTCCCTATAAAACCCTATCACTTCACCCATATTTAATTCTCATTCTCCCCCAATTACATCCCCATTTTAAATTCCCCTTAACGCTAGACAGGCCCAAAATCTTAAATTTCCTTGAGGCAAAGAATGTTATGTGTACATGTATGTGTATATGAATATATATGTATATGATATGATTGTCCCTATAAAACTCCTTTAGTTCATATCACCTACCAACCAACTTATAGTAGCGCATACCGAATTCGGCAAGACTGTTACTAAATGTTCCGCCCGAATGAGATCAGCCACTTTCAACATTGTTGTCTCCCCCCCCCACATCCAATACTGTGACCTCACCACTGACATATTCCCCTTGTCGCAATATAGGCCTACCATGTTCAATTCCGATAGAGGCTATATAGGTTCGCGATGTTAAATTCTCGTTTGAGGTTATAATTTTTTCCACTATTTTTCGTACATAGAACCATTTGAGGCTATAGTCTCCTTCCACATTACTACTTATCTTATAAGTATACTTAGATTTCCTGCATTGTCAAACTTTTTTTTAAAAAAAACTCGATCAACTTCACCCGAATTCCAAATTAGATCTTAAATATGGACGCCAGGAAGGCAGCAAGTACCTGTAGACGGACACATGACGGACACCGCACAATGATCTACGCACCGCAGTTATATTCATTATTTTACCCTTCCGATCAGGTGAGATAACAATTAATCTCATAGTATATTATGTTAACTATCTTATGACTCACCTGGAATTCCCCAGCTGAGCAAGTGGTAGACACATTCAGCCTTGATACTCTTGAATACATGTGATGGATGCACAACTGCTGTAAAGATGTACACTGCGATTATAACAGTCCAGAAGAAAGAAGCCATACTGGAAAATGTCGTAATAAAGCTTTGAATAACACAAACTTCATTTCTGTTAGCAAAGTAATATATGGTTCCGGAAATGTTCCCAAGTTTATCTCCTTCTTTAACAAGACCATAGCGAATGGTACCCATAAGATTCCCAAATGCAGTCAGCATGTCCGCGAAAGTCAAATAAAGCAAAAGTTTTCGGGGAAAGTTTCGAATTTCTGGCAGACAACAATATGTCAGAGAGATGACAATGGCACCACATATGGACATACAGCAACTGGTGCCTGTTAGAGCCAATGTATAGGCATGAAGCATTTTGTGGTCTGAAGTATTCAGTGACTTTTTCATGATATCCTCCATGTCGTAATTGAACTATTGAACTGGTACGTATCAGTTATATTCCCAGTAGTTTGGAAGAAGAATATTAGGTATGTGCTAAGTTATCTATATTATATGTTGCTTATTTGCTTATCTGAGCAATTCTGACTCTAATACACTTATTTCTGCAAATGGAATATATCTCTATAGAAGGAGTCAGAAGGATACTTTGACTTGGTGTTCTTTTGTTAGACGAATATTCATTTATCTTCATTCGTATCGGGTAAATGTTACGGAAGAATCCAGGAGGACATTGTACAGTCTAGAGAACTGCATGGTTATGGGTACCAGTCTTGTTAAAGCTGGCTGGTTTATCTTCCAAATATTACGGACTGCATTTTCTTTTTGTATCTGATGTGTTGTAATGGAACATTTTCCGCAAGCTCGTATTAGTCATCTGAAATAGAGAAGATATAATGATGAAGAATGCATCTGCGCAATGTCATTACACTTTCATTTTTATGTACATCTGGAAAAAAAAAACTTAAATTTACTCAAAGAAGTACCTTATCGTATCTTTTCAATGTAAAATGAGGGACCTTTTCTCATTATATTGATATCGATAGACCGATTGATCACGTTTGTGACGTGGATAAATTATCTTTATAAGGCTGATATCGCATTATTTGCCATTTTCAAGTGATATTCAATTTCTTTTAATAAAATTATATAATACTTACATAAAGTAATAGTTATTTTCTAAAATATGTTTATGTAGTTATGTCATTGTTATTGAAACGCGCCCAAAGTATGACCGCTATTACAGTAAATACTTACAGTGAATAAGTGAATATATACCAAATGAGTTTACATCTGTTTCCTGAGTTCTTGGATTTAGTATATCAACCTGCACTATTTTGGCAAAAGTACAAATATATAATCTATAGAGTCATATATAAGCTATAATATTCTTGTCTTAAAAATATTACCGCGGCCTTGCATTTCATGTCTGAAGATTTCCTCGTGCAAGGTTATATGACCCGATGAAGAACGGAAACTTGAATTGGCAAAGGCGATAGATCGTACCATCTAAATAAAGGCTTGTAGTCATCTCACCTATGTGTGAACGTTTAGTCCAAAGATCAAAAGAAATCCTGCGGGAATAGCGAATCGTGTTCTCGTCCGTTCCCACGTTGAGAGACAACGACGGAGACATTGTCCGAAAGGATTGATTGGATAGTTTCACAGCGATATCCAATCGTATCTGAGACAGAGGGTGTGATTACAATTTGGACCCGAATGTTACTTCAAACTCGTATGAGAGAATTTAGTATTTAACTAGATAGATTGAAGATCAATAGGGTTACTCCGAGAAAAAACCACTCGTAATTTGGAGGAAAAACTTAGAGGTAGATTCTAAGAAAGAAAAAAAAAACGATGCTTCGAAAGGTCAGTAGGCTGTTTGCTCGATTTTTGCAGAATATTACAACTTCATAATTGTAATTATTTGTAGTATGTATACTTAATTGCTACTATCGTTTAGTATGTAGAATTATTTTTGTAGTGTTTCATTTACATGCCTATTTTGATAAATTGGCCTGCGGTTATTAATTGCGAGGCGGAAATAAATAGACTGTTAGCGTGTAATCAGAATTAATTCTGTAATTCGTTATTAGGTTACTTCGTAGTAAACCAGTGCATTTATTAATGCGTTATGTTATAATTTAAACATGCTTGAATCGTGAATGTGGAATGGTTAGGTTTGTAAGATTAGTACTATGGAAATATGAATATATCAGAGCAATGATATCTGAATATTTGCGTACTTTGTATGAGTTTTAAGGTAGATAAATGCGTCTGATTATTGTGATATTGTTTAGTATAAATTGATTAGAAATATGCATTGATATGACGGAATTTATTGAAGTATCTATAAGAAATAATTGATACCGTCATGTACTATGACAATGTTTTAACATGCAAAAACGTATGGATATCTTGGTGTGAACGAATGCGTGACTGAAGAACTTTAATAGCCGTTATCTGACAATAGGATGTGTGTAGTGTGAGAAGAAAGGGCTAAGGATGAATATTTTACCGTCCTTTGTGTTTTCTCATTGAGCTCTTGAGGACACAGAACTTCGGGTTCCATTGTGTCTGGAATCTTCAAGAGTTGGAGATAGAATTGAGGCTGTAACCGAGACAGTCAAAGTCGAAAGAAGAGTTGTCGAGGTAGAGAAAGTGGAGGAGGAGGATAAAGAATCTAGAGAAATTTGAGGAGGAGGTGGAGGATAAAGAATTTAGAGAAAAGCTGAGGAAGAAGGGGGAAAATGAAGAGAAATAAGAGGGAAAGGATACAACAGATGAGTAGAAATACAAGAAAAGGTGGACATCAGTCTCACACTGACACTCAAGTGATGCAATAGGCTGATTAAAGGGTCAAGGCTACGGATAATCGAGTCATTTGATTATTGAATTGCTATTAAATTGTTATTCCTTGAATTTCAACCTCTGTTGCATATTTAACCATCCAACCGTCGTTATTGCTGACCGGGGGCTCGGAACTTTACATCTACCTTTCACTAAATTTAACTTCCAACAAAATAGAGCTTAGGTGGGACTTCTAAAATAGTTTAAATAAAACATCGAGAACGCCCCACCCCAACTATAACCATACAAAACACACACACATGCATACATATATGTGTGTGATTATGATTTTTAACGTAGCCTTAACAAGTTTTCAGTCATATCGCTACGATGTCTGCATTGTGGCAGTTTATAGTGATGTTTAGCACTGGGGCATCATGCCACAGACATGCAGCATGATGTCCCACCCAGCCACATTATTCTGACACCAGGCCGACCAGTCCTAACACTAATCTCTTAATGCTTAGCGTCAAGCGAGGCAGCTGTTAGTACCATTTTGTAAGTCCTTGGTATGACTTGACCGGGGATCGAACCCACGACCTCCCGCATCCGAGGCGGACGTTCTAAGGACTAGACCACCGGAGCGGTTCACACACACACACACACACACACACACACACACACACACATAAACACACACACATACACACATGTATGTAACCATTTTTTAATGCAAGAACGTCAAAATGTATTGGTGTAAATTTCTATGTGCAGTGGCGTCCTAAGGGTAAATGGCGCTCGAGGCAAACGACGGTGTCTCAAAACAGGCTTTTCGCACCTAAGACCTCTGGCGCTCATGGTTTTAGAGCCCCAATGACTTCTCGCACTAGGGAGCAACCACCTCTTCGTCCACCTACGCCCACCCCGTTAGTACGCTACTCTGTGTGTGTGTGTGTGTGTGTGTCAGAGAGAGATAGAGAGAGTACTATCATGAAAACTTAAATGTCTAAATGTCATTTAATTAACAATATGCACTAAATGTTATACCAGCATGTTTTATAGATGTAATATTAACTGAAAAGACAGAGTCCCTCTTATTACAATTTGAGTGCCCCCTGAGTCCTTGTCGCATAAATTGTATATATCTATTTACGTCTGTGTATTATTACTTAACTTACCAACATATGCTGCTGTTATCCATTGTAGTATCAGCTGTTTTATGTAGAAGTCCCGTTTAAGTCATGCCAGTAGTGAAAACGAAACCGGACATAAAGGTTCAAGACAATGGCTTTTTTAATTTCATTCAAACATTTTTTAATGAAAATGTTGGAATTACCCTATATCTGCTGTCGATCTGTGTATAAATCTGCTCAACTACTCGCAAAATGTTGTGGTTAAAAAGGATCCATACGCTTTGACAGTGTCACAATCAAGAAAAAGATACATGTGAATCGGGTGACACATCAACGTTTGCTTCGGTAACTTTGCAGGAGTGACCGTCGTGTATTCGCTAAGGTCACCATTAGGCCTACAAGGGAGGCAATCAGTCGGGAGGTTTTTTTTTTTTTGTTTTTTTTTTTTACTACTTAAGTCACCTTCCCGCTCAGGAAAATGTTTGGTTTCGTTTTGGGTTTAACGCCATTTTTTTACATATGATAGGCTATACGTGGCGGCCAGGATATTTTGTGGAGGAAGAACCCTGGAAAAAATCACCGATTCACGGGAAGGTACTATGACGTTCCCTAGCTGATCCAATCAGAACATTGCAGTTTAAATGTTTATGTAATGTGTCAAAAATTCAAATTTCACGTGTTGAATCAAATTGCGTATCATTGAATTGTGCAGCAGTGGTTGAAATTTCAATGTGCTATATCTAGAATTTCCAGTTCACATATCAAACCTAGTTGTTTGTGTTGAAAGTAATTTTAGTATGTTGAGTATTTAGATTTCAAATGCTGAATTACACAGCGTTGGTTGAAACTTGAAAATCAAATGCTGACTTTCTGAAGATTTTATCTAAGGTGGTCCAATAAGAACGTTGCAGTTAAAATTTGTATTGTTGTATGTCGAGAATCAAATTTCACATGTTGAATCAAAATGTTTTTCCTTAAAATTCCGTTCTCTGTTGAATTGTACAGCGGTGGTTGAAAGTTTTATTTGATATGTCGAGTATTTAGATTTCATCTTATAAATACACAGTGTTGCTTGAAACTTTGATGCCAAATGTCGAATTTTTAAATTTGCAGCTGTTGAAATGTGCAGCCTTGATTGTAATTTTAAAGCTGTACACCTAGAATCACATTCATTGTGCTGTAAGTTCCATTTCTCATATCGAGTTTTTCTAAAATTTATTTTATTGTATCTGTTGAATTACAGAGCGGTGATTAGGCGTTTTAGCTGGCTTTGTAAAATTTGCTACTTTTATATTGTGAAATACTTGTTGGTCTTAAAAGTTACAATATTTTTAAATATGGACGATTCCCGTTGAATGGTTTTGATGAGCGACAGTACAGTTAGTTTTCTTACTGTTCTTTATGGAAGAAACTGTAACCAGTGAGCTGCAGGACTACATTTTAAGTATAAGTATGACTTTAACATTTCAACAACCGCTGTGTAATTTAATAGATATAATTTTAAAGCTTCCCACTGGACATCAAAATTTTAACAAACGATGTGTAATTCAACAGATGAAAACTAAACACTCGACATATGAAATGGAATTTTCAACACGAACAGTTTAATTCAACACGTGAATTAAGAATTCTCGACATATGACATTGAAATTTCAACTACTGCCGTATAATTCAAATGACATAATCTAAGACCTCGACGATGTAAATGAAACTGTCAACCATTACTGTGTAATTCAATAGATACGATCTAAAATCTCGATATAGAACATTCAATGGAACTTGAAGGACAAGTAATTTGATTCAACACGTGAAACCGAAATTCTAGACATATGTCATTAACATTTCAACAACCTCTGAGTAATTTAAAAGATAAAATCTAAACTTCGACATTGAATATCGAAGTTTCAACAAACGCTATGTAACTGAACTAATGAAATCTTAATACTCGACATCTACAATGAAACTTTCAACACAGTTTGGTTCAACAACTGAATTAAATTCTAGACATATAATATTAAAATTTCAACCGCTGTAATTCAACCTACATAATCTAAATCCTCGACCTGGAAAATGAAATAGAACTTTTAGGAAAAGTAATTTGTTTCACCATGTGAAACTGGAATTCTCGACATATGAAATAAAAATTTCAACTGCAACGTTCTCATTGGACCAGCTTTAGTCCGCCATGGTACCTCGTAAAGTACAGCAATCCTTCGCACGCTGGTCTAGGCCGATAAACATCAGCCCATCACCAGTGATGGATACTGATTTCCGGGGGAAGGACTGCTAATCGCCATTTCATTAAAGGCTGCAATCATCTGCTTCAAATTTGTCTGCACACATCGTTGTACATTTTATACACTTACCAGTATATTTCTTGGCTGTGCAACTACAGTCGGCTAAAGGATCCTTTTGGTGACATGTACATTATATTTCGGGAGTAAATCATATGTTTGGTGACTTGTAAATCCACGTGGAATAGCACAACCATCTACCCTGAGTACATTTTGAATTTCGCGCATGGTATGGCTGTTACCAATTATAGGTATGCGTCGAAAGTGTACGCAGGTTTGTTCCAGAAAGATTTGTATGCAGCAAAATTGCACATTTTAATGAATAGGTCACATCAGACCCATATATTGTCCATCAGTATCAACACATATTGGGGGTGGTGTGATTTTTTAGACTAACGCTGGTCGAACTGAGACTCGAGCATCCGCAGACAGAGGTGAGATCTGTGAGCCATCTGTAAAATCGATTGCCTTGGACCATTCATATACCCAGTGCCCCCAAAGATTTCAGAAGAAAAAAGGCAAAGTTAGGTACGGTAGAAACCGAACAGGAGAGTTTCTTATCGTTATATTTTTTATTTTAGGTGGTTAACGTTTAGCCCGTGAAAAACTTAAAATGGGTGAGCTTCTGGTACTTTGTCTTTGTAAACATATAGGTAATAGAGACCTAGTAAAATACTGCATAAAACAGTGTTCTTATCATGTTCCTATAATCTCAATCCAAATTAAAGGGTTTTTTTCTTTCTCCCTTATATCTGAATGATAATTTTAATAAGTTGAACAGTAGTGTAGAAAAAAGTACGAGCTCGAGAGGAATTCTTTGTACAGAGTCTAAGGATTATAGGGGATATGGAAATTTAACATGGACGAAACTTGCAACATTCGATCATGATGGGTATATTTGGAGGTGAAATGTAACATTGTAGCATGATGGGTCTACTAGCGTCTATACTAAATTTTGTGTTAGAGACGTCCATACGTTTGCCATAATGGGTAATTATAGTTGCAAGAGGAAGCTAACATTAACCCTCCATTATTTTGGGATTCTGGCGACAAGGAAATAGGTTTAACACGATGGACAGCAAAGGGAAATTGACATCAGAACATCATTGCTGTGGACTGATAGGGACAAGACGAAATACTACCTGGGAAATGTTCATACGCCTTCCCTTTACCGCAGGGACAGTCTTAGGTCAATCCGATGCCACGCTCACTTGTGTCTCGCGCGTTAATAATTTATTTATAAAGAGAAAGTAATTTTAAAGGGTTGGAAGAAATTTTAAGCTCAGTAAAACATAAATCTTGATTAAAAGTTTATTTACAAATGCCGTGTTGACAGTAGACCCTGGTGTAAATTCGAGAGGGGGGGGGCGCCAAAATTATTAAAATCGGTACCCGAGTTTGCTACGGCCGTTACTGCTTTTCGGGCTTCATGAAAATTACTAGAACTCTCGTCCTGAACGTTTAATCTTGGCTTGGATGAGTTAAACTTTACTACGGACATGCAGATAAGTACACTGATCTGAGTGCGTTTTCTTTTACCTTAAACAAGCATCGAATTTCTATATTGCTTAACACTTGACGTGCATAAACTATAAATATTCTTAGCAAATTTCCCTTCATGTCAGTCTAGAACAAGTTACAAAGAAAACAATTTCGTCTTGTTTTGCTCAACTACCCAATATAAGCCTTCTATTGGAATGGGTAAGTGTTATGAATATATGATACTGCAGTTCCACACCTGGGGCCAGGTTTCTTACTCGTTTTTGTATTTACAGCGATATTGTTTAGTAACTGATGCACCATTTTGATAGGGATAAAATTTCCCTTTTAACAAGCTACCACGCATCGTTAGAATTTTGACCGCCGAGAAATTAAGGGACAAGTTATTATTAGACAATATTACAGTTGTCCACAATAACAGGTATTTTCAAAACTTTATTAATATATTGTCATTCCAAATGGAAGGTGCCAGTACATATTCCGATCAGTATGTAATTACTCTTACAAAAAAAGTTGCCAACTTACATTCGAAATAATTATTTCAAGTACTCAACATCCAACTGGGATATGCTGTTGTAATCGATTTATAAAACAGATAATGCCTAGACAACAACTGATTGGTCGAAATCCAGTTTGGATAACGACCTAGATTTATTCCGATTTTTTTCGACCAATCAGCAACACTCTTTTCTATGGTTTACTTGTGCAGCTC